ACTATTTTGAACTCTCTGATATTATGTGGTAATTACAAGGCAAAAATAATGTTTCATAACAATTCTGCGACATTTCAAAATACTTATGATCTGTAAATAACATGGCCTATTCATAATTTAAATAAAATTATTAGACAGACTCGAACATACTCAGCCTTGTGCGGTGCTTGTTATCAATTTTTTAGTAGTCCTCGTTAAAGAGTTCGTCTTCTCACCTATTTCTGCCGCCAAGCGGTCATGTGAGCATTACGGCGTTCCAGTTTTGAAGGGTAAGGGTGAAATTACTGGCACAAAGGACTTGGACGGAAAAAAAACATGCCGAATGCGGCAGAGGGACTATGCAGCGATGACCATGGCAAGCCTTTGCCACTACACGTGCGATTTCTTCTCTAATGCTTGCCTTACTAATACTTTCCTAAACCATAAAACTCCTAGGAAATGAAACGTATTTTTCCGGATTTAAATCGCGTATATTTGTTTTTTCAAACAAACCGACGTTTCGGGCCCTTTATTTATTGTAACTATAGTGAAAAAATAGGGTGGCTTGCATCAATATTAGACATAACTGGTTGAAGACTGTACCACCTCAGTCAACTGTGACCATGGGACCTGTAAAGGTAAATATACGCGATTAAAATCCGGAAAAAAAGTTTCATTTCCTATGTGTAACAATCGCGAAAACCTAAGAACTCAATAAAGCTCCTTCGAAATGAACGACGAAAGACCTTTTAACTTGCTAATGTCTAAAAAATTCTCTTTTGAACTATTGACTCACTATCAATGTTATCACATTGCATTAACTGTTGCTCACTAAATCTAAGAGAATGTCTTTGACCGTAACTTTAACTGCCTCCGTGGCCGAACGGTTACCATACCGGACTGCCACGCAGAGGTCACAAGGAGCACTCCTGCTACTAAAAGTCTCTATCGTTAAGACTGCAGAGTTCCCAACGCTTCAAAGACAGCCTACCATGATAATACCATGCACCAACCAAATTTAGGCATGGAATAATTTCATGAGTGCATAAAAGTGATGAAAACTTTGTTAGCCGCGACGAGATTCACAGAGATTTAAAATGCATTAAATTAACGCCTTTATCTATTCTATTTAACTGCCTCCGTGGCCGAACGGTTACAATGCCACGCAGAGGTCCCAGGTTCGATTCCCGGGCCGGGAGAAATATTTGTATGGTCTACATTTATTTCTCTCGTGAGTTTGGGTGTAATTTGTGTTTGTCTACGTGTGTGTCCATGGCACCCGCGACACAGGGTTTCACTAGTGCGGGGCTATGTTGAGTGTGTGCGTTATTATGTTGAGTGTGTGCGTAAAGTACGAGCAAGCAATTGTAACACCTAAAGTTAGAGCCAATTATAACCCGACCAAATCAAAACTTCCTGTAATACACTGGATTGAAACGAAAATTAAAAGGTTTAGATATCTAAGGAGGCCCAAAAAAAGCACACAGGTATTCTGCGTGCCTTACTGCACAATTTTAGTGAAATTACAGGCACATGGGACTTGTCAACCCATGTCTCAGGGTAACTGGCTTAGTAGCAGTGCCCCTCAGATCTTTGAGATTTAAAACTCTGAATGGGAGTGCAACTGCTCAGGACTGGCGTGTCGGTTACCACCAGGTGCACGATTTGTTCATCCCCTCAGTTGGTATAATAAAAACAACTTGTCATGTAGGTACAGGCTTTTTAACCGGTATATGTTGGTTAGAAGGGATTTGTACGTAATGAAATAAATACTGTCCATTGTTTTTCTGTGTAAGGCATTGATATATTGCTTTTATTTCTGAAAAACGGTGTACTCCTTTACTTTAACAACGTACATAAATACTACATTTGTTAGCAGGGGTATAATTTTCTTTTTTTTTAAGTAAAATGTATGATGATTATAGGCGACCTATTTTTTTAAGCGGCGTACATGCCTCTCAAATAAACATGTAGACGAAAAGTGTCACATTCAAAATATACTTAATTGCACACATCACCGCCTGAGAAAATAGAACATTTCGATCAACATTACTCAAATGATATATAGATTTTTTTAAATAAAACTGAAAATGAAAAGCAAAATGGGTTCGTATCAATTTGGACAGGCAGCGGGAGAATGTAATAAAGTCAGAATAAACAGAATTATCGAGTTCGATTTCTATTGATATTCATTCGTTGCAGACATCAGCTTTTTTTCATTTCCAATAAGTTATTTCACCGTATTAACAAACCGTCTTCGAATCAACCAATATTCCTCTACGCGTGGACTCTTGCATGGTATCTTAAAATTACTTTACATTATTATAAGAAGAAAGCTTTAAGATAAGTTGAACATTAGCGCCCGTATTAGTTTTAAATAAAACTGTATGACAGATGCTACGTCTTCCACCGGATTTAGTTTACAAACATTATAATGCCAAACATTCTACGTAATAAAAGAATACAAGCAAAATTGACAGAGAAATAAGGAAAACAATTTTTAAATATGTGTGAAAGGGTATTTTGCTCGTGTGCGTTGTGTGCTGTGTTCAATTAAAAGTTTGTGTTCAACCGCATCCCCAAAAAGGAATCGAAATACCCATTTTATCTTTAAAAGTATTTTGTATATGTATACATAAAAATAAGTGTAATATGTATTAATATTTTCACTGAGTCATATTGATTAAGCCTTCCGTTTAAACGGAGCTAAGTTCCCTATTCTTAATGGAAAAGTGTAGATATCTAGAATCTTGTTTATTTTATTATATGCGGAGGAACTGCGGACATAGTACTGTCTATCCGCAAGAGAAGTATTTTGAGGAACAGGTCGACATACCTTACATTTCTGTCTACATTTATTTGATGTTCTCTATCCGCAAAATTTTGATATGATAACGATTCACAGGATCCCCGCGTCCATTATTCATACATGCGGCAGCTATACCTTTTCTCTCTATCTGCAATTAATATTAATTGATATTTACATAATTTTAATTTAGATCTTACTATACGCAGTTAAATTCCCGAACTAATCGTCATTCAGAGCCTGTGAACCTTATACGAAGGCAAAGGGGTTTAATTTAAACGCTTTACATAATTATTTATTCTGGCGCAGCGTTTGATATTTAATTTTCGACTCTGCTCCTAGTCAAATTCTTGCGCAATTATCGTCCTTATTCTATATATATCTTATTCTATGTATCGTCTACAATAGATTAACAATACAGAAAATAATACAAGTGTTCCATTTAACAATGAACTTGAATAGATTTACGCGCTGATATGTTTTGTTCCAATGGTGCGAGCACCTCCCAGATGTCGTCACAACGGTTATCTCAGAATGTTCGAAACTATGCATAGGACATGGCTGCTGGCTATTGATAACGTCGCCGGACAGGACGGGTCAACAACTAGGACCCTAGAATTAAAATTAATATTTGTTGATAACGGGGTATCTAAAGTTTATTAAATTGGGTAATTTGTTACGGCTCATTTTAAAACGGTCGTAGCGATATCGCCGCTATGACCCGGTTAAAGGTTTACTTGCGATGATGAAAGCGGAAATTTCGACTACCAGGGTAACTTTATATCTACACTAAACTGCCTCCGTGGCCGAACGGTTACCATGCCGGACTGCGACGCAGAGGTCCCAGGTTCGTTTCCTGGGCCGGGAGAAATATTTGTATGGCCTACATTTATTTCTCTCGTGAGTTTGGGTGTAATTTGTGGTTGTCTATGTGTGTGTCCATGGCACCCGCGACACAGGGTTTCCCTAGTGCGGGGCTATGTTGAGTGTGTGCGTTATTATTATTATTATTATCTCCCCTGTAACTAGGGCGTCACTTGATGATTTGAATTTATACATTAACTTTACTTACGATGTTGAAAGTTGTATACACACGCACATACATACGAACTAGACTTGTGCACCGAGCGTACAATCGTCGGGTGCTTAAACATTAAAATTTTAATAGTCATTTTCAACGTTTTGTACACTTCAACTTGTACTTAAGAAATAAGAATGTTCGTAAAAACACAATCACATGAAAAAAACGCTGTCAATTTAAAAATACTATGAACTGAAAATACTTACACCGGAACGTAACTAATTTCGATTGTACTGAAATACCGTATAATAATAAGGTAAATAATTTTCGGCACGCCCATTTTACGCCGGTCATATTTATCGACGACAGTGGCGTGGGCAAATCGCCTCAGCGGCGGCGGCGCGACCATAGAGTGTGAACTAACACGCCTGTCTTCCACTGGGAAGGGCAGAGACAATGCCCTCTCTTCTAAAAAAACTCTCATAAGTATTTACTCTGTTAAGTATACTCGCAACGCAAAATAGGCGCCTTGACGTCGAGTTGCGGATAGCAGCCCGTTACACCAAGTACCAAGTATACTCGCATATATAATTTCATACTCGCCCGTTGGTATTAATTACTCCTAACTTAGCATTTTTAAAGAATATCCTCAATATAGTTTACACACCAAAATCGGCCCGCTCTCTTATTACACACTTCTTCAATTTATCTCTACAAATTATACCAAACGTGTAACGGCACGTTCTGGTTTCTATAGCAGGGACGTTCACTACCGTACATCAAACTGATAGGCTTGGTAAAAATTTGTTTTGCGAAACTCTGCGTCTGAATGAAAATCTGTAGAAAAACCATATATTATCGACAAAGATTCATTAAATTCCTGTCGCAATTTGTCCATTTCATCTCAGCGGCAAACACGGAGTCGAGTTTTAATTAATTCTCGATCACTACTGCAGTTAAATTCAATGTTTCTAAAGCCGCCACAGACACTGTGCTCAATTTTGTGGAGCGTTGCGGGAGTCGCAGTGCAAATTGCTTTTAATGAATTTGGCCGTTGCCTAGAGTTGTTCAGCCATCCTTTTCAAAACAATGCGCCGAGAAACAATGGAACCACCTCGCGACCCTCTCGCCTCTCGTGTCGTTCTCGAAATCACAAAAAAGCAATAAATAACATTATGTACAGATGCTGCAACCGCCACACGTGAGGATAAAAACCTACACTCTCATGATGACATCTGAAAGGAAGCCCGTAGACCCGTAACGATAAATAAAAGAAAGCACTTCCTAAATAAGCAAAATCATCGCTTGTTTTTCTCAATTCAACTTATGACAAGATACAATAATTAATTGTGATTAGTAGATGAAGCGTACTGTACCAAATAAGGCGTCCAAATTTTTCGAATTAGTTAAAAAACTAGTATTAGCGTAGATGAATCAGTTGTGATGCGCGGTCCACCTGTGTACAGCCGAGCTGTCACAGAAGTTCGAAAGACTGTTTGCACGTGGGTTGTGATGCTAGCACCGCTATACGTCTAAACTTGCGAGAGAGATGAACGTTAAGTGTTCGGTATCGCCAGAACACTTGAGTGAAAGTTTGCCAGGCGCGCTCGACGCGCCGGCCATGACTATGTGAGTGGGGTATCGGTCTGGTTCTTGGCATGGGCGTGTAGTGGGGCGCCTGGGGCGAGATGGCGGCGGTCGCCGGCCTCTACGGGCTGGGTGACGACCAGCGCGCCAGGCACCGCCGCGGACAGCAGGCCCACACCGAGCGCTCCGAGTCCAGAGACGACAACACAGAGGCGTAAGTTACCACCCTCCACATATACTATCGATTCATTTGTAGAGGACGCCGTGGCCTACGCAAGCGACAGTGATCACGATCAACCTTCAATCTAGTAATTTATTTACTTGTTGTATACATAAGAATTGCCTTATTCATTTTGCCCGTCGCCATTTTGTTCAGTAATGGGAACACCTCGGCCGCGGCCACAAATTGCCGTGACATACGCTGGCCGACAATAGAGTATGCAATTATATTACGCTTCACCCTAGCTTGACGTAGCTACGATATTAGGTACTTAGTGTTAACTAAGTTTGCTGTGCGATACTTATTAGCCTCGCGACATGACCACCATTGTCAAAGGCTCGTATTAATAAATTAATCCCAAGCGCAGGCGGTTATTATTAGAGTTGTTCTAATTGCCGCTTATTAATACATGTACCTCAAGTGGATGCATTCATAAAAATGTAAAGTCTTAGCCACTAGAGGTTTATTATTCTACAATAATCGTAGACTATTCAAAGACATGTGGGACATCTCAGCCCATATACATATTTATGTACCGAACTCAGGAGATGTTTATTAATACGGACCAAGACTTCTTGTTAACTGGATCGCTCTGAAAATTGTTTATTAACTTAATTATCAAATATTGTCGAATGCTATTGAACGTTTGTACGTAATTTTGAAAATCCTGAGATAATCACATTTGATATAGGTACATAGTGTAAAAATGTTGCATTAACTACAATACTGCCCTCGTAATGAAAAATGGCACAACTATGCGTACTTTATACAGCAGTTATGCCTTTCTTCGTACTGAGGGCAGAACATATCTATCATCATTCATAACACTGTATAATATGTTATTAATAGTGTGTATAATAGTATTCCAGCACGTAAGGATCTATAATGGGAATAACTTAACAAATTATTAAACTCGTATACAAGCTATGTCATTCATTATTACAATTATAAAGTACATTGAAACCAATATACAAATTTATATCACAATAATTAACATTAAAAAGCATAAACATAGTGATGCAATTTAATTTACAATTCAATTAATAAATTTACGGACAAAATTCGATGAAATAATGTTTGGAAAAAATAAAAGATTATATATTATATAGTGTTCTTAGGTTTTCGCGATTGTTGCACATTGGAAGTCAAATTAATTTTTCGGAACTAAGTTTATATTTCTACACGTGTCAAAGAAAAAAAGATGGATTCTCCGTACCACTGGTTTGGGGTCCAGTGTTTCCTTGATGAAAAGTGCAGTAATACTCATATCGTATGTATTATTTATATAGAAATATAAAACTGCAATTCAATTATATAATTAGACACTTTAGCACAAACAGTAGACATTAATACTTAGAAGAAATTAATTAAATATACTTAACACATAAAAAAATGCTTACGTAACGAAAACAAGGTGGTGGATAAGAATATAAGACACTTCTAAAACATAGATAAAATATATAATGTTATTTGGTACATTAGAATTAGGGTATTTAAATTAATTACTTTTGTAACTATAGTTCAGAATGGGAAGGTTTACCTCAATAATAAATATCATTTGTTGATAATAAATATCAGTCAAACGTAACCATGGGTCCTATAAAGGGCGATTTTATGATATTTTTTTCCAATATCCATCATAGACACATTTATTAACCATTATATCATTATATTTTCCGTTATATTTATTCTTTCGATGAGTTCGTGTCGTCTAATTCTTTCAAATTAAAAGCCGTGCGCTATCTTTCGCAGCCCAATGTTTATTTACAAAAGCACTTACGTTCCAATCTGTACAAGACATCGAGTATATAACCAGAAAAACAGACGAAATAAGGGCCATATATTCCTGGTAACACATTAGCGATACAGCTCTTATAAATGTCAACTCCCGTTTGCACTGAAATATAAACAGGCCAACTACTGATCCGTGTGTACGTCTCCGTATGTTCCAAAAAATAGTCTGTATTTATTGTAATAAAGATAACACCTCTAACAATGCCGTGCTGTTCTATTCGGCGGTGTGGGAAAAACAGCAAAACAACAAAACAAACGGAATCACATTTCATCGGTAATTAAATATTGAATATGTAATTTTGCAATTTTTGTCCATTATGCCAAAGCTCAAGTTAACTGGTCAATTTGAAGTGAAACAGTTGACGACACCCGTCAATTGTTTCGAACTCGGGCTGGCCAATCGGAGCGCAGTTGTCACAGTAATGATATGGCAGAATAGTTTTCAAACAAATTAAATGACATTTCGTCTCTATTTCTGGTTACATACTCTATGGTACAAGAGAATCTGAAGGTTTGCATAATTGCTACAGCGATCGTAGCACCCGTAGAATAAGCTACGAAGAGCGGACATTAAATTAACACTGCTACGTAATATTAATAGTAGTAAATATAATATTGGGAATAACCATAGTAAACTCAAATTATTTATCCCTCTACGATAGATACATAAATAACGCACACACTCAACATAGCCCCGCACTAGGGAAACCCTGTGTCGCGGGTGCCATGGACACACACATGACAACCACAAATTACACCCAAACTCACGAGAGAAATAAATGTTGGCCATACAAACATTTCTCCCAGCCCGGGAATCGAACCTGGGACCTCTGCGTGTCATGGTAACCGTTCGGCCACGGAGGCAGTTAAATAGAATAGATAAAGGCGTTAATTTAATGCATTTTAAATCTCTGTGAATCTCGTCGCGGCTAACAAAGTTTTCATCACTTTTATGCACTCATGAAATTATTCCATGCCTAAATTTGGTTGGTGCATGGTATTATTATGGTAGGATATCTTTGAAGCGTTGGGAACTCTGCAGTCTTAACCATAGAGACTTTTAGTAGCGGGAGTGCTCCTTGTGAAAGAGTTCGCCCAGGGAAGTACTGCCACCTTACCTATTTCTGCCGCCAAGCAACAATGTGAGCATTGCTGCGTTTCGGTTTTGAAGGGTTAACGGTGCTGGTGAAATAACAGGCACATGAGACTTGTCAAGTTATGTTTTGAGTGACGGGGGCTGTAGCAGTGCCTGAGTTTTGCGATATAAAGCTCTGCAACTGCAAATGTTACGGACAGGCGTGTCGCTTGTTCGTCCCTTATTTGATATCATAATCAGTACTCAAAATCAGTACAGAGTTTTGCCAAGATTCATTGAAATCCACCGGAAATGAAATGAAACCGGATTCATCCCCTAGTTTTGCCACCCTTAGAGGAGGAATATTTTCTTCAAATTGAAATGGGACGAATACTAAGGCAAAATTATTTCCTACAAACAAAAGAATCATCAAAATTGGTTCACAAATTATCGCGTAACTTGCATACAAAAAAAAAGTCGAATTGAAAACCTCCTCCTTTTTTTTCAAGTCGGTTAAAAAAGATCTATGCATTAAAATTATGCATTAAAAAAAGAAAAAATACCAATATATGATGAGGCAGGATGGTAAAACCTTGACCTACCCAAATAAATGGATGATAACGTAAAAAATATAAAATGATGGATGAATGACAGCTTCAATTGCCACTTATGAATCGACATGACTGTAGGGTGGTACGATAATGGATGTAACAATTATTAGTTGTGCAGAACAGAGCCCGAGTAATAAACAAATATATATTTACATGTTTGTATAACATGCCGGTGCCCGAAATATTAACACGAGTACTGACGACTAACAAAGCAGTTAAATTCAATCAAAAGTTCATTAATCATCATGTCGGTGGTTAAATAGAGTCTAGTTGAAGCTACGCCGAGTTTACAAATAAAGACCAATCAATATAATCAACGTCTGGACGTGGCCCGAATTAGGCATAAATATAATTTCATTAAATATATAAAGCTTGCACTAATGTGATGTACAATAAAAGTGATATGTTTCAAACGCTGTGCACGAGTTAAAAAAATTCGCAAAAAGAAAGAAGTAAAATTAGTCACGCGTTTTAATAATAAATAATGTCCTAAGACAATATCTGAAATTACTTTTTTTTTATAAAAAGTAAGTGACGTAACGACACATGCGCCTGATGATAAGCAATAGAGGTTTGAATCACAAAGATCTGATGAGTACTGCCACTGCGCCCGATACCCTGAGACATAAGTTGACAAGTCCCATGTGCCTGTAATTTCACGAGCTCCCTTACCCTTCGAAACCGGAACGCAGTAATCCTGACACTACTGTTTGACGGCAGAAATAGGTAAGGTGGCAGTACTTCTGTGGACGAACTCTTTCACAAGGAGCTGTACTGCTACTAAATTTGGGAATAGAATTTGCAAATGAAAATCGCGAATGAAAAAGAGTAAGGAATTAAAATTTTAACGAGTCCAATAATCATAAAACTTTGTTGTAAAAAGGTTTATTACAAACAAACCTTTCTAGAACACGTGGACATCAGATAATTATGCCCGTTATGTTATCTCATTCGAAGGGAAGTTCATTTGGGAGTTTACGTTGCTCGCTTCCGTAGATTTACCCTCGAGGCCCTACAAGTGACCCCTAGATGGTGCTAAAGAGCACCAACTACTGGTGGTAGGCTTCGGCCGCGACTAGTCATCGCCCTCCCGACGCAGTCGAGTAGCCAAGTGATTTTCACCGTGTTCCGACTCGTGTCCGGGAGTTGCCATTAGGAGGTCGGGTCTGAACAGCTGCATTGCATCTGACGACGAGTAGTAGCTGCTTGTACTGTCACACTGAGCACTCGGTTCTGGAAGCTAGCGGGATCCGAAGCACGTTGCACCTCTGGTCGACTGTGGGAAGTTGGGAGCCCAAGTAGCCGGAAAGCCACCCGTAAAAGGCTAACATAACCCAACGAAAAATCCCAGAATGCTCCATCTTGCCGGTAGGCGACCAGAGGGGAGGACCAGGTGGCCATCTCTTTCCAAACCGATTGTACCCTCGTGTGGCAGTGTGAGCTTTGCTGCTTGATTGAACACGACGCAGTGCCGCGTTCAACTGCCTTCCTCCTGCCTATTCACTTCACTAAAA